CGAGTCCTTGCCAGCGATCTCAGCGGTCAAGACACCAACTCTTCGCTCGGCCCACTGTGCTCTTGTCCACCAATGGTGGATTACGTCGTCTTTATTCAGGATCGTCTGTTGCAGCTCATGCTGTAATTGAAAACGTTAGTTATTTATCAAGCCAAGAGTGATAGATCGATCTTGACGAGACTTACGATCTTCTCAATCATTCGAAAGATCTTTTGGGACAAAAAGCAAAGAGTTGGAAGCACGCGCGACATTCTTGCGAGTTGTTTGGTTGATGTGGTGGGAATTGTTGAGTTGGATTTTGAGGTTGTAAAGGTTTAGAAATTTCTGCAGCGAGAAACTGAATTTAACTTCAAAATTACCTGAAGACGGAAGCTTACGCGAAGTTTACCTCGTTATTGTGGGGCCAGAGACCAAAAAGTACGCTAGCTTCGATACCTAGTCGTCCTTAGGCCTCCTACTTACGTTGCCCAAAGGACAGAAAAGGCTAGTCTCTAGCCTTGTATAGTACTAGCAGCTTGGTTCATGTTTTCTTGAGCTTGAGGTTAGTTTAGTTCTTTGAATCAGTCGCAGCTTAGATTGAGGTGATGGTCGTTGGGTCTGGAGCACGCAGAAACTACTAGTATATTGAGCCATTACGAAGAAGGTTCGAATGGAAACGACGCATGAGGCCATCGAGAGTAATCACAGACGCCTGCGAGAAAGGCGACGTAGTATCATAGAGTCATGTCAAGAATTGATCAACAGTTACCGAGGTTTTGATTTGCATTGAGAGTCTGGAAGTCTGCTGGAGTCTCCTGTCCTCTCGGATCAGTTTACGAAATAGGCGATTCTGCAGCGAGAATCCCAATTGAACAATACCAAAACTCATAAATGAAACGATTAATCTTCTTGACTAAGAGCACATCTGAAATACTAGAACTGCAATCCATCAAAATAAAGAGCTATCATCAAAGAACGTTGAGAATTCATGTAACTGAAGCTCTGCATAAATCCGTTTATTTGAGAAAATTGACCCCACCAAAACATCTCTTTCCACAACCTCCCAATCTCCAACGAGCGCCGCAGATATGTATGTGCTGTTGCCGTTTCAATTGTTTTCGGCAGTTAACGAGCAGGAAAATCCGTTATGTGTCTTCTCCTGTGGTGGACATGCCCTGGTTCAGCTCTCAAATGCCTCTCCAGGCGTTTTCCTGCACCTACTTTTGACCGGCAAGTTCGAAATAATAAAATCCGAACCATCACAGTAAGTTTCATGAGTTCAAGGCCCTTTTCAATATAATATTAATAAATTTGTATGCAAGGCATCAATAGCTAATCAAAGAAGAAGCTAGTATTGCCCGCATCTACGTTAAATATCTCAATGTCCCAACGAAGGCAGTTATCTATCTCGGTCCTAATGTCGAATTCCCATCAAGCAAGAAAGGAACCACACACACAATACCCTACTCCGCGACAAAATTCACAGGCTAATAAGCCCATCCTAAAGTCATCAATGAGATAAGAGCCGCCTTTGAAAACAATACTATGCGATGTGGAGGATGGAAAATGTCCCAAATTTACAGCAAATCAAAGAAGAATGCCCTTTCCAAAGGTACTGTCAAAGGAATTACGAAATAAGAGATAAGAGGTCGACGTGAACTAAGAGTTACAAGTCGAATCGATGCTACTCTCGGAGGTTAGAAGGGCCTGGGACAATCACTTGAAAGGCCCCGGAATAATGGTCTTCCTATATGCATAAACGCCAACGAGATGAAATAACGCGGGCAGGCCAAATGAACCATGCACACGATACTTGTTGATCACGATTACGACACCATGGCTTTTATTCAGGGCATAAAGCGAAGCCGCTCAGCTATAACGACGCAGATGCCGAGAAATCTCGTTGCCTTTGACGTAACCTAGGAGACCCGGCAGAGGATCTCAAGTCTATGAACCTCTTGCTCAAAAGGAGCCGCATGAACTGTACAAGTTTTCGCAAATAGGGTACAACAATCAACGATTAGATAAGTATCTTCGTGCTCTATTTTATGCCATCAAAATGTTAATGTATGCCATTGCTTGCAGCACCTCCCTCAGAAGTCCTAATCTAGAAAGCGGATGATCTCAGCTCGAAATTCCCTAAGCTCTTAGATAAAGAATAATATAAGGAAACCATGGTGCACGAGGAGTCCGAAAATCGTGAAGAACATGTTGACGCTTCCGTTGGTCGTTGGCTAGACCCTTTCGTGGGATCTATTCTGAAAAGTATGCAGGTCCAAAATGCATTTGGCAAGAGTTCAGTTGTGACGATGCAATGCCACAAGATAAATGGTGGTGGGAACTCGCGCACTTTGAGAATGGTAACTTCATGAATGTTATGCTACAACTTTCAGGCGGATACATTCGTGTGGAGAGGAAGGTGTCGCTGTGAATGCACCTTCAATCTTATGAGGCACATATGGGACAAGAGCCAAGCTACATAGCCAAGTTTAAGAATAGAAATATGTTTCTCATGAGCATCGAGTGTAAAAGACTTGAGCCTTGGGACTTACATATGTCATGAGCTCTCAAAAGGAGTGGAACTGGAGAGGCATTGCATGTCCAAAGTCCAAAGTATCATCAAAAGTTATTAACCCTCCCCCCATTCTGAGTTGCCTCTGCCACCAGCGGTTGATACTCCAGGTATCAACCTATTCGTACCGTTGTTCTAGTACTTGTGCATTCAATCATCGAACTTTATCCCACCATGTGAAATAGTGAGACATAACTACCATGCCGGACACGGGCAGTAAACGTGCATGGAAATGTGTTGCTGTCTTCAAGCATAACAGGCTACAAGTCATTCAAACGCAATTCAAGTCTTAGATTCCCAGGTGATGGCTATGGGATCACAGTACATGTGCTTGCGAACACTGAAGTTAGGTGCAATATGACATCGGGATCCGTCGTTGCTGGCGAACGATTGGTGCATTAGCTGTAGGGTGAGACACGGAGTTCTTCCCCTATGGTTGCTCCGCCATCCTGAAGAGCTTTTAATAACTTGGTTTGTCCGAAACGTTCAAGAAGCAAGGAAGGAATCTTAAGCCGTTGACGATGAGCTGCTGGGAGGGAGGGAAAGTTGTCTTGTCTGGGTAGTTAGTCTTTCGGGACGGCCTGAGGTAACACATCGTTGCAGTAATTCAAAAGCTATATCTTCGAGCAACACAACGATCTTCAGAGCTTCTCTCCCCCAAAAGTAGTTACTGAGCTGTCACCAAGACATGAAGTCTAATTGGAGACATGAGACCAGCCTCAAAATCAGTAAAGCGAGCAGTGGCAACCAGGACTGAAAGTACCATTTCATTGACTGAGTCTGTCATTACCACAAGAGAATAGGCTCAGGAGTAGTGTGAGATTTTGGAAAGTTCGAGAGGGTTATGAGGCAGCGAGTGTCACGGTATAGGTAACATAAATCTAGCTCAAGGTCTCCCGAGAGGATGTTTATAAAAACAGCAGACAACGGCATGGTGAGTCTGATCGTCTGAATTTGCCAATATATCCTCGATTTGAGCTCCGTTCTTAAACTATTGGTGATTGCGTTGAGTGGGAATAGAAAGAGGCGTTGGCTTTGAATCCGAAACGCCTCAAAACGCTTTGGAGTGGAAAGTTCATCAAAGTATCTGTATATCCAGGAGAATGATTGGAATTCTGAGCGTACTCTTTTGGAAGCTTGTTCCCCAATCAGAGCACCAAGAGAGTATGTCGCGTAGAACAATTGAGGAAGGATCGAAGGCGGGGTGCTCATTCCATACTTGAGGTCTTTTTGGTAGACAATCAGGTCAAGGGTGTGGCGATTCGTTACAATAACCGTTTGAATAACCATTTGAAAGAGTTTGAACAGGAATCATCGAGTGCATCTGAATTGTAGATCCTTTGAGAGCTTTAGGGGTAGAAAGGTTTTACTGGAAGGTCAACAAGAGGTTGTAGTAGTATGGTCCATTTAGGTGTTCGGAGGGGATAAATTTTTTTTCCAGAGCTCGGACCATCACAACAACATCACACTGATCAAAAACAACCTCTTGATTTAAAAAACAACTATCTCAGGCAGACATATAGGAAGACATCAAAAAACCTTGCTCTTTGATAGCTTCCTTCCTTCATCAATCATCTCAAAGAAAAGGGGACGTTGAACAGAATGGAAACATATTGAATCACTTGTCACTCTTGAACCTTGCATGTGCTCTTGTTAGTCAAATTCACACTTTGTCACTTTCATAGACGTCAACTTCATAAAGGGGATAACGACAAGCTTTTGATATTGAGTTGAGAGATCCTGGCCTAGTCCTCTTGCAGAAAAATAATTCTCGAAGTTTTCGAGAAGATGGCGAAAAAGGAAACGCAGTCCATATTATGAGTCTGGTATCTAGTGTTGAAAAGGAGACTTATTTCCTCATCTGAAAAGCAACGAGCTAAATGGGACGGCTATTGAAGCAGAAGCAAATGCCTCGATATGGTTAGTATCGGTGCATGTGGGACATTTCCCTGCCAAATATTTCCATTGCCTGCTTCCCCTTCTTGCAATTGCGTACCAGTTGCAAGCAAGAGCCTTCCCGTCATGTGTAGTTGTGCCGCACGAGTGTGTCGGAAAGCCGGTTTATAGTTGTGTCATTGAATGTGCAAGGACATTGAATTATGTGTCGTCCGCCATTTTTCTTCTCTACAACGGTTCATACCCTGTATTTCTTCATGCCTTGCCAGAACAAAAGACAAGTGCTGTTGGGCTCTCTTATCTGGTACGAATAAAGCGAGAAAACTGCAAGCCAGGGCGAATTTCTGTAATGGAACACTGAAGGGAGGTAGCAACCGTTCAAGAAGAAAAACATATCTCTACATGTATATGCTCTTGTCACCCTGCCTTTCCGATACTTGCTTATGAAATTGTGTTTCGCCACAAGTACCCTTCGTACTTGAACCTCTTAGGAACGGCGTTGACGTTTAACTTCTCTCTCCTGATCTTGTGCTGTGTCACGAATTCTCTTTCTTCATCTCAATGATCTTCTCAATGAATCAGCACCGGAAGATGTTCCAGCATTGCCCAATGCTACACTGACACTTGGACGACGGTTGACATCAGTTATTCGGGCTGACAATTTAGCTGCTTTCCGGTGAAGCAATGGATAGGCAACATCTGCGACAGTCGAAGGCTCAACAACAGAAGTTTGGGATTCATCGACTTGCTTTTGTGGAGGCTGCTGTAAACGTTTTGGCACAGCTGGAATACCAGACCCAGCGCTACCGTTAGAAATATGACCGTCCTCAAGATCTTTTTCTCCCTCTTCCTCGCAATAATTTGATGAGTTACCAACAATCATAAATTTAGCCTTGTCAATGCCATGTTGTTGTTCATCGATTCCTATTTGTATAAGATTGACGATGGCATGAAAGGTAGTACCACTGGCGTCAACCGCACCTTTGATCTTCGATAAATCGCCAAGAAGTGACTCTACTCGGACATTGCCAAACTCCTCGACGAGAAGGGCAGCAACTCCATGTCGGAGATTTTTCAAGTCAGATGCTAGCTGGTGGATTTTTTTGAAGACTTCCTGCATTTGAAGCTCTTTAGCGGCACCCTCATTATCTTTTACCGGCTCTGAGGGAGTTGTATTGGTATCAACTTCCTTTCCTTTGCGAGACCGCGCGTTTTTCTTGTCGTTGATGATGCCTTGTGCCGTCTGTATCTTAGGTTTACCGGTGTCAACTTGCTTGCCTTTCTGAGACCGCGTGCTGTGTAGAGTCATTTCGAAAATTTATTGCTTGAGTTTTCTTATTCTTTGAGATTTCCTAGATTATTTGACTTTATAAGCCGTTCACAAATGGCTTGTGTCAAATGCAATATCTTTGAATATCGAAAAAGCGATAGACGTCGGCAGCAAGACGCAAGATAATCTGCTCCATGGGTTGTGAATAAAACTTCGAGATTCGCGACAAAAATTCGAAAAGTGGCTGGTCGGCCGTCTGCGTGTATTGCTTGATAATTCAAGATGTTGCAAAACATAGAAGTCTAATTAAGCGAGTGGGTGCACCAGGTGGTGTAGAGATAAAAAACTGTAAACCTACAATCACAACTTTCTATTCAATTTTTCGATTGCTTTATTTAACAGAACAGGGAGTGATAAAGTGGTGTAATCAATTATATAGCCAATAATCTCATGGCTCAAAACGAAGTCCCAAAACAGGAAGCAAGGCTTCAACTTACATGCGACTCGTCAATCTAAAAAGTGTCAATTCGAAATACAAGAATAGAAGGCGTGGAGGCAAATTACATCATGAAATATGTTGGGGATAGGCTCTGTCTGTAAAAATCGTGAACAAGGTTAACGCCAGTATGCCATTCTCCCAGCGCATAGAGTGCTTCAGAAATTATGAATAGTATATCAATGTAGATTTTTGAAGGCGAACACAATTCTAAATTTTGACGGAATGCGAGAAACGCGATTTATTCAACTGACCGACTCATGCATAAATCTATAAGAGAGTGGAATAAATTGCGTATTCCAACTACCGTAAAGAAAAGACCTTCAATAAGAGGGTGGACCTCTAACTAGTCTAGATTCTACCAGTACCGAGAGTTTTCTGCAAACACTTGCAGCTACTCTGCCCATATTATTGAAAGTATGATAATGCCAAAAGGTAGCCTTCGAGTCTTTTTCCCTCCTTCCACGTATGGATAATATCCAAGTTGGTTCTTGTCTTGTCCAGCTCAATTTTTCCATCCAGCTTCCTTGCCGGCACGATTGGTGGAACATACCTCTCTGGTGCTGGTCTGGGTTGATCAGTTCTATAACTGAGTTTCGGTGTTGCAACCGGTTGACTTCGATTAACAGCTCGAGAAGCTTCCGATGGGTAATCGCGTGTGATTTGCCAGTTGAACCTGCCTTGTCGAAATTTTACGAGGGATACTTGAGTGGTGAGGTTATTTTTTCAACCTAACCAGATATACCATTTGGTTCCCATTCTTTCTGGATGTGCTCTTTCATCAAGCTTTCGAAGTCCTCTAAATAACACCAGGTCATTTTTGGGGGGGCGAGCTTTCTCTTGTTACCCTCAGGGTCGGGCTGGTTCTTTTGTTGGCTGTTGATAGTCCACTATTCGGATGTAGTCGACCTTCCTGTTGAAAAAAAGAATATCAGTAATTGATCGAAAACATGACTATTGGAAGCTAGCAGGTGGCACAATGCAAATCTAAGCCATACATGCCAATTTATAACCAACTAGATCGTGGAACTGCGAATGGATCATTCGACCGGGCAAAGAAGGGTTTCCTCGAATTTAGAGATAACTTACAGTCGACGAGATAACATATTCGCGCGCCATTTTTGTGCCCTGTCCACGTATTCTTTCGAGAATCGGTTTGTTGATCCATGGATAATCCTGGACTATGATCGATTAGTTGTGCTTGTTATGAACAAAAATGAATGGAGGTATAATCAAAGATAACTTACTATAAGCTTTATGGCTTTTAAAACTAACGAAAAGCAACCATTAATATGTCCCGCTCACGAGAAAAAGAATTGTAGCAGAAGCTGTGTGGAAGTGAAGCTTTCGCGTTCGTAGGCGATCTATGAAGAAATGTGGAAGAGAAGAACGTTGGCGCTGGACACCTAGACCCTTTGATTGTGGTCGATTTGTTGACTAATTAAACCTGCGGCTTTGAGCGCCAGCAGAAAACTCGAGTTGAACTGGCCAGGAGTACCAGATCAACTCCATGTTGTCTCTAGCTTGGGGTGTAAGGATAGAAAGTAATAACTCGAATTTTTCAGGCGTCCTTCTCGAAATTATTGTCTGAGCTGCTTGGGTCGTCTGATAAATATCTGTCTCATGAGCCGGCTAGAAAAATGTTTTAGCTGCTAGTCCTTAAAAGTTGAACCCAAGTCGGGAAAGTAGTCGCATTTAAGCTTGGGATGAAAAGTGATGAAACATGTACGTACTTCAATATGGAAGAGCTGGTCCTCAAGTCTGGCAGACCCCTTCCCTATATGGAGGGATGTAGTGGCAGCCGATGCTGTGCTTTCACTTTTTAATACGAGTGAAAGTGTTCGGTCTGAGCTCTGACTCTTCGAAATATGCGGTGGGTGATAAAGTCCGCCGGAAGATCTTGGGCTTTTCAAGCACGATGTTGCGACTGTTATCAGTATTAATATCTCTCAGCGCAATGTTTTTGGAGCATGATTGAGCTGACTTACAAATAGGTGTCGAAGAGGTGTGGTGAAGGACATGGGGTTGGCCGAAAAGTAGCTCTTTCATTGAAAGATATAAGCTGAGCATTTATTGGTACACATAACGCATAATATAACGACGGAGAAGTTTGATGGTAATGATAATACTGGTTCTGTAGGTCTTATATTGATGTTGAAGGTTGAAGGTTGAAGGTTGAAAGTTGCAGTTGTGGTTGCAGTTGGAAAGAGGGATGCGAAGACTCAATACCTGTACGCGGTGCATCCTATGAATCTCCAGCTCTCTCTTGAGAGTCTGCAGAGCTAAGATTGAGTTGCAGATGGAATTGGAAGAATTGGAAGGAGAGAGATTCAAAGATATAGCGAAGAATTATATTACGATTTTATGATAGCAATACCTACAAAGAATTGAATACCAGCTTTAAACACAAATACAAAGGTTATAGAAGCCCCGATTAGATTCAATATCTATTATCGATTATTATTTCAAATATAGAAATATGATACACAATAAATCTTTTCTTTTAAAAAAGTCTTTTCGATATAGAGCTTGCTATTGCTCTACTCATACTACAACCCTTTTTTATACCCTTTAGCTTTCAGCCACTTGAATATTATAACAATATAATATAAAGAATACCATTACCTTCAAATTAATATTATACTCTAAGCATTGATATAATATAATGTTTTTCTTTTAATTTTCGAATTTTCGAATTTTCCAAATTGATTTGTGTATAAACAATAAGACTTAGAATTCAGCCCTGCCCCATTATTTTCAATAGTTTCGGTTATATACATTTAATAAGAACTGAAGAATATCAAGCTTATAAAAATATATAAAAAATTAGTTTAAAAGAGATAAAGATAAAAAAAAGTGATACCTTTTTTTGCTATTTTATTAACAAGAGAACCCCTAATCACTATAAATAAATAAATTAACAAGAGAACCCTTTATTATATTGAAAATAATTCAGAAAAAAATAACTCTTGCCTTTTATAAAAAGGAAAGAATAGCAAATTGAATTTAGAATTTTAAAAAGAGAAATTGAATATTAGAATACTTTAATTGAATTAGGGATAAAAGAAAAATAAGAAAAGAAGTATCTCAAAAAATAAAAACTATTTAATCTCTATTTGCACTCCAAATAGAAATCAGACATAACACCCCAGCATTTGTTTTTATTCCCCCAAATTGAATATATCTACTGTAGATATCTACTAGCAATTATTAGATTCTTAAAGCCTAACTATCCTAAATAATCTTGGACTGAGAAAAGGACGTTAATTAAATCAATCAATCAATCAATCAATTAAGCAGTTGGAAAGAGGTTAAGCGTTCGAAAATTTTGATTGGAGCTAGGATCCTGAATTTTGGATTCGTTTCCATGCTGCTTTGAAGCTCAAATAGACTAAGCTCCCTTCAGAATACTTTCATCAACAAAATTTGAGATATTTGTTAAGTTCATTGATAATACATCATATTTTCCAATCTTTGACTTGTGCATGATCTTTAGAAATGCCTCCTATTTAGCCGAGTCGAAAGCTTCACATGTGCACATTTTTTTTTGACTAGCATCTATATTTTTGTTTTCACTCGAACAACCAAACTTGTGTAAGTAAATTCCTCTATTCACAATAGGATCCTCAAAAATAGTTGTGAAAGTTGCACAAAAAGCATATTCATTTGAATTCTGATAATTACTTACCATAGACTGTTCTCTTAGAGATTAAAAACGTCTGATTTGTCCTTCTTCTGCCTTGGTATCGTACACTAAACATAACATCAGATATTACCACAAGTTTCACCTTTTATCTCAGCAGAGCAGACATGATAGACAATGTCAGAAGGGAGTCTTTAATGATATTATGTTTGTTGTCCTTGCACATCCAATTCACCTCTTTATGCTTTGTTAAAGGGCTTGCCTAAAAGAATTAGAGTCATTCTCTTAGGGCTTTTCGACAAAGCAACGGTATTACGAATACCTTTCATGACAAGCATTGCAAAAGATAGATGGAGGAACCATTACGACTTGCTCATTCGTTTTCACCACCGCAATCCACCGTATTCACCTCAACAATTCAAACCCTTAGTAGGTAGAGATATCTCAAACTATCATCAATTATAAGACTTGCTAACAACAATTGATTTCCAGATTCTGTCACGAATTCCGTAACTTCAGCCTCTGCCGGATGCCACAGCGAGCGCACCAAATGCTTCTCAATCTGCGCAATTGCCTGCCACCTGGTTTTCCTCAATAATCAATCCCACAAGCTCAAACCGTCTTAAAAGCAGGTTAACTATTTCCAGGACTCAATTGCCAGGGGCTTTCTCAACCACCTAAATTCTGGTCTATTCCTTAGTGGTTCGATTAGTCTTTCGCTCCTATACGCAAATTTGACGATCTATTGGCATGTCTGCCAAGAACAGAAGAGGAATTGATTTCCTACTTGAACATCTACTCCAACTGCTAGATTCCAGTTGGAGTAACTCAAGCAGTTTGTCTTGGAGTGATCATTGCGATAAAGAACACCAACAATAAACCAGGTCCTTTAAACATCATTGCGATAAAGAATACAAACAATAAACCAGGCCCTTTCAACATCAGTGTTCCAGTCACCGAACGGCTCATGCCTGACATGTTCAGATTTCTCAGCCTTCATGGCCATGGAAACATTTCCCTAGCGGATATTTTCTGTTCAGTATGTCTCGTCCAAAAAATATCGAAATTGGCACCCGTCACCAACAAATAATGCTAACACCTTTAGTAGCCATAACAGCAATTTGCTCATGAGTACGCGTTTTCAAGCCTGCTGCAGTCTGCCGAGCGGACGCAACCGTATATATGGAGCCGCGCTCTGGGCAAACTTACCCAAAAACCCTCTCGACTGGACAGCATCCAAGCCTCAGTGGAAGCTCTGACAGGGGAGACTTCATGCACTATTCATCATCAAGACCGAAAGATGGTTGAGCCTATGGCTCGGAGATCTTGGCCTTTTTTCAGGCTCTGAGTTCTTAGTTGCCGGTTTGGTGACTTTTGTCGAGCTAGGGAGTTTGTTCACTGTTGGTGTGCCTTCAATAGTTTACTTGGCTATTCAGATGTCTTTTGTAGATTGTTTGAGTAAAACTCAGCTTATTAGCTATACCAATATTTACCTGTTGCTCAGTGCACTGTCGACATAATTGAAAGTGCACCTTATTATGCCGGAGAAGAGGACTGTACCTTTTTATAACAGTTCATGAGTCAACTTATTCCTTGTAGTCTTTTGCTAGACAAAAAGAGAGCGTGTTAAAGACGTGAAGCCGTGTTCTCATTCATGGTACCTTTGCTACTTTCCCGAAGCTATAGAGTAAGCTTGACAGCGCAAGCAGAAAAGGTCATAACATTAACACTGTCTAGTGCGAATGCGATAGCTCTTCTGACCTGAGTGAAAATAAATCTTGCTTTAACCCCAAGAATGATTAGAATCTGAAAGTCCTCCCATATGCAGCGACTTTGACCAAGCAAGACAACAACCATTTCTGATCATAGCTTTCATTGCCGAATAACAGTACCATGCCTATTTCCACGCTAGATACATTCCTGACATCTTTTGCAATAACGGAGGACGTTTAGGCCCTTGGGACTCAGTTCTGCCGGTCCATATCTACTATGAGTCTTTTACTCTGGAGTCATAACACCACCCTCACATACTTCCTCGAGCCCCAAGAAGACAGGAAAGGTTGTTGCGCAAAGGGGATATCATCCCTCCCGGTCAAACACCCGCACTGCTGCTGCATATTACACCTGCCCCTCGCCGAGAATTCTGTGCATACATATTTTCCGAAAAAAAAAGAAAGAAAAAAAGGCAATTCGATGTGAGACAAGTAATCGCAAGTTCAGTGCAGAAAGGCTCGCACTCCAGTCAAGGTCCAAATACAAAGTCGTATATTCGTGCAACTTCCCTTCGATCGCCATCGTGAATATCAAAAAGCAATGCGACAACAACACAATTCAATCAACAGCTCCAACAGAAACATTCAATCTAATTCATCTTCAAATACTATAAAAACCAGCTAACCTACCCTAAAAACCCCCCAACTCATCTCCTCAGCCCCCTCCTCAAACCTCCACACTCCACATCCACAACCAAAAAAAATCCTCCTCTCACCTCACTCACGCCTTTGTCCCTCCAATCCTCCCCATATCCCAACTGCGCAAATATGAGCACGATTCCACACACCTTCGCTTTCCTCCCGCCATGGCAAACAAAGAAAACATTCATCCCCTCTCTCACCCAATTGGCCAAATCCCTCACGCCAAGCCAAAGCTCCAGCCACCATTTCTCTATTGGGTCAATGGAGCCGGAAATCCTACGTCGCCAAGAACCGTAAGACGCTGCAGTTGAGCACATTTTATATATATGGTCCACCAGTGGGTGCACGGACTCATGAGACACTCAAGAAGGAAAGCACAATTTCACACCAAAAACAGCGATTTTAATAATTCGATTAAAATTCAAAATTTCGATGAATTTATTTGAAAATCAAACGTATAAATCTAAAGTATAAAGATTTTATATTGATTTAAGATTGAATCAAAAAAATCAATATTGATATTTTTATAAAAGAATATATAATTCCTTATCAAAATTTTTGATAGGAAAATATACTATTTGTATTTTGAATTCAAATCATATTTTATCTTAATCATTTTTAAACAAATTATTTTTTAATATTTAAAAAGTTATATATATCAATTTTGAAAGAATTCAATAGTAGATTGAATTTTAATTGAATTATTAAAATCACTTGTTTTGATATAAAACTGTGCTTTCCTGTCACGCTGTCCCGTAAGTCCGTGCACCCACTGGTGGTCTGTCTTTTTGTCATGTATTCTGGCGAAATTTTTCATCTGGCAGGTGGGAGATGTGGAGTGGGGATTTCATTTGGGGGAGTGAATGGGATGGGATGGTTCGGTGAGAATGGGCGTGATATTTGATATTGAATATTTGAGCAAATTATGAGGGAATTAGTTTGGGTACCTTGTTGTTCGTGCATATCTATATGTATGTGTTCCTGCATGGATGGGCTGGATTTTTGAAAATAGTCTCGTCGAATAACTTCTTAAGCAACGTCGATCTTTCTTGATTTTCGTATTTGGCTCTCGATCTGTGTCTTGGATTTTCATTTTAATAGAAAGCCTTCCCAATCTTCGAGACTTTCGTGATCTAGATCACCGCGGAAAGTTAAATCATCATGGCTACTCTCAATATCATCGTCCTTCTCTCATTCCTCTCATCCATCGTCTCCGCCCATTTCTCTATCCAGTACCCACCACCGAGAGGCAATTCCTTTCTTCCGCCAGCGTCTCAGTGGGAGTATCCATGTACGTACATCTACCATTACTAGGATTCATCCTCTTCATCCCACTCCCATCCAATTCCAAACGACTAGTTTAGTACTTCACACAATCTCTAACCTTCCTCCTAGGCGCAAACATCAATACCACCGAGAACCGTACTCTCTACCCTACTACTTCCTTCCCCATCAATCTTGACTTGCATCATCCATGGACATATGTGTTCATCAACCTTGGTACGTCTTTTCCCTTGGTATCTCTCCACTCCATTCTTCTTACAGCTATCCTACTCTCCACCTTCTCACCATACCCTCTAAACTTTCTAATCCGATCTAACACCTCCCAAGGCCTCGGTATCAACGGTTCCTCTAACCTAAATATCTCCCTCACACCCTCCCCCTTAAACGCCACCGGATCCGGCCACCTCTGTCTCTCCGACTTCAATTTGCCCTCCGGTGTCACCCTCGAAGATGGCATGAACGCCACAATTCAAGTTGTTACTGTGGGCGAAAGCGGTAGTTCCCTCTACAACGTAAGTTCTTCCTTCTTTCTAATCACCTGATTAACAACCCTCCTCTGTACGCCATTTCCCTCTTTTTAGTAGGAAGAGTAACAAACGAGGAAGACAACGAACTCCAAAGCTGACAAACAATCAGTGTGCCGATATCACTTTCTCCAGCAACGTCACTGCACTCAAGGCTTCAGATAACTCAACCCAATGTCCTACCACCCCTGGTATCACAGTCACAACACTTGCCGATGCTTCAAACACCACATCTAGTACTTCTGCCACTGGTACTTCAATCGGATCGAAAAGTACCGGTGGTTCTTTAAGTGCTATTGTTGTATTACTAGGTGCTTTTGGTATTGCTGGACTTTTAGTTATCTAATTTCATGGGAAGCAATGACACTCACGATATCAAAGGAGCAAAGGATATGGCTCGTCGACGTATTTGAGTACAGGATTCTGGACTTAGCATAATAAAGACAAGCATTGAATTAATTCAAAGATAAGCTTTCCAAGCTCTACTCTTTGTTCTCTCTAACCCTAAGAAATCCACCACTTGTGCTAAATGATCCACACCCCAGAATCCCCGCGTTTCACCTGCGGAAGTCGTGCATACCATCCACTGTTTTCATTCATATCAGCAAGTATACACTTCTCCCGCTTCCCCATCATCACAAACTTCCACGACCAAAAGCCCAGGGAGAGGGGCAAACTCACAGGTAACCCAAAAGCCCCATCCCGTACCGCTCTCTCATTATTTTTCAGCACCGCCTCTTTACCCTTCCCCGCAATTTCCTTCAATACCAACTCCTTCTTTTCCTCCCCAATCAAATTTTGAAGCACCTCTTCGAAGACACCAGGAGCCGTGATATTCTTCCCGTCCACCCAATACATTTCATACACACGATCTAGACATTGGCATAAAATCTCGTGCGCTTCATTCCCCTCCGGAAACAAGAATGGCAACACACCCAACGCGCGTTGAATCCCAAGCGTCATGTGAGGAAAGCCGACTGGTGTTTTAGAAGACATGGGGATATTGAAGACAGATGCCCAATGGAGACGATCACGGTCGATCCATTTATCTTTATCTGAGGGGAAGTGTTATTGTTGTAGTGAATGAAGAAGTCCAGCGTGAAGAAAGAGAGAGATTAAGCAGAAAACGAGCAGTGAGACACACTTTTGATATTAATAGGTGGATTATTCCCAACATCTTTCATGATGCCACCCAGGAATACAGGTATGTATTCAATGTTGCATCTCGAGAATGTAGGATCATGCTAGGAAAAATATGAATTAGCACGTCTCATGGTAATCAAGCTAAGAAACAAGTCTTTGTATCCAGCGAGAAACCCTGGAAGAGATGGTGAGGCAAGAAGTTTTTCATGTTCCCTCAATCAATACCAACATCCAGTTCTCACTTGACTAGACTGTGAAGACAGAAACCTTTCGATGGTTTATCAGGTTCATCAGCTTTGGCTGCCCGTTCCACCACCATGCCGCCGTTCAACTCTATTCATTGTGAAATCCACTTACCCTAAAAATCCAATAAGCCTCATAAGCAAAAGGGCTGACTGTATCAACGTATAACGTGATTTTTGGTCGTGCTGCCATGTTTTCCATGTGTTCAATCTTCCTTGTAAGCCTCCTGTGACCCTCTCACGATCGAATTTACAAACTCCTTCAATGCAGCTTACTTCAATCCTTTAAAACGATGTTTTCGAATGAAGCAAGCCTATTTCTCTCATACTATTCTGAACAGCCAGCTTGGCGGGATATATCCACCTTATCAAGTCACTCCGCACGTCAAAATTCCAGTACCTCGGTTCTCGGGAATGTGGGGAACTCTCACCACGCATCACGTAGCTCATCCCTCACCAGATAATTATCAATATCTCATCTAACACGAATTCAGTCCAACATTTCACCAAGTCGTCAGTATCCATGTATTTCAATTGTGGTCATAATTATACTTCATGATTCATTCTAGGTGGGTATCATAATGTACTAGGTAGTCTAGGGTAATCGCAGCAAAAAGGTCTATCATGAGGACGTAAAACAAAGCAAGCATTACCAAACAAAACCATACCACTCCAACTCCCTAAAGCACAATTGTCTCCCTATGTCCGTGTACCAAATTTACTCAATAAGCACCTCTCGAACCCATATTGTACTCCCTAGTGACCCTTCCCTCTGAAAGCAAATACACAAACCCTAATGTTGTGACCCTTATGGATCCCGTTTATTTCTGGCTCTTCTTCCTCGCTCTCATGTTTGGCAAGGTATGCATCTTCCCAGATCTCCTTCCAATTTCCACACACAAGAAACGGATAAAATCCCTACTGTTCCAATAGCTGCTATGAGCTGACAACATATCAATATACTGGTTGGCTAACATCCCTGGACGATTTCCCAAAATCCAATCTACCTGACCATTTTCATTCAATTGACAGAATTTTTTCTCAGCCATCTCCTCGGCCGTGAAATCATGGACTTCCATTTCCATCTGAGATGGCAATTTGGTAATTAAAGTAGGTCTAGGCATTTCTCCAACGTGAAGCGCTTCATCTTGAGACATGCCAGCAGCAGATTTCATAGCATGGGTCACTGCGGTCATGAAACTGCGAGAAGAGTCCGGTACTTCCGCTTCTTTGAGATTTGCCCCATATCGTGAGTCTACACATGCGTTCAAGCGATATGCGATAGGATCGTTGCAATGCATGATGTTGTAAAGGTTGTCTATCGCCAAGCATCCAAATGTACCTGCATCACCGAAAATGTCTTTACTGCTGTCATTTTCGCATTCACAGCCAGGCTTAGAGATACCCTTCCTAGGAACTAAAGACTTGCTATCGAGTAGGAGGAAGAATGCACATGGACTACCCGCCAGGAAGCAGTTTGTTGTCTGAAAGTCAAAATGCTTGGTGTTGGGTCGCCATGAAAGCTCGGCTGGTAAGGTGGTGGGCTGTTTACTAAGCACTTCGAGCGCCATGACACTACCAAGGGAGTGTGAAATAAGGTGGACCCGACCATTCTTGTGAAAACCTGGATTGTTCTTACACCAAAGACGATATATCCGGTTGGCCTCGGCAATTAAAGCTGCAATCATCTTGTGCTTGTGCCCAGACATATAGTATGGAATATCCAACATCACATCCGAGATGAGCTGGCGTACTCTTGGAATTGTTGGCTGGGTTATGTCGTCAAGAGAGAAATCACAGCCTGGACGTTCTTTGTCTCCAGGCTTTCTTGGCCCACCATCTTCAAATGAAAGATTGGCACGCCAATTGACAGGAAGCACTGTGAGGCCACAGAAGTCTTCTCGGAGCACCTTCTTCACATCGTCATTTGTTAATTCTCGCTTCATCTCACATCTGAAGCTGTTCACTGCATATGTAAAGTTGAAGCTCTCCATGCGCTCCGAAAGTTTTTGGCCAATGCCATGAATGACCAGGCACAAATCAGTAACTTTTTCAGGTTCCTCTTGTGCCTTACATGCCGGGCACTCTTCCAGTATATTATAGCCAGTGTTACTATGCGTAGAACTTTTGGTGTGTACTTTCGTGGCGGTCATTGATTTCTTTGAAAGATAAAGCTTATTCCAAGCCTTTCGGTTGAATCCACGAACGACAGGTATACCAACACACAGCCCACTTTTGATTTTTGCGAGGGGTCTACGTCCGTAATAAGCCGAAGGACAAATGATGGGCTTCAGAATGAAGGCTTCCTCACAGTTCTTATAGATGACTTGTGAATTAGGGTATTTTTTACTAATGGAGGTAGCTGCACCTGGCTTTGAATCCGACTCTTCAACCTTGCCTTCTGCGGCAGCTTCGCCATGAAAGCAGCGTGCGGCGCAATGTGGATCTGCGGAGAGAATGTGTTTGGAAGAATCATAATCTAGAGTTTTGTCGTCATTTTCTTTTGGCCAGAGACGGTGAACGATTTTCTCTTCGCCTTCCGCGCCAACTTCTATTGCAGAGTTAAGTTGATCGGCCCATGTCTGAGACCAACACTCATTCTCCCTGTAACCCTTCTCTAGCTGGTTTGCGACAGCGGGCTCTACAGGACACATGTTATCTTTATAGAACCACGTGCCATATATACAAGGGTACTGATCATTGAGAGGTGACCAGTATATCGGCTTCAAAATCAGAGATGATAAGCTGACCAAATGAAGTCTACATGTCCCAACAGGTATGTCAACCTGACATTTTGCATGCTCCTTATGTTTGTAGGCCTTGCATCCTTCAACCTCCATGTCTTCTGTAGAGTCACGTTCGTGCGAGATCCGAGAATCAGTGGGTGGCTCATCGTCATATGCTGTGTTGTTCTGCATCTGAGGACTTTCACCACGAGCAGGCAGTTTCAGAAATGGCTTTCCTGTGGTACCAGAACCGGCAGTTTTTGCACTTTTAGTGTATACATTTCCATTCCCGCTTGAAAGTACATCATGCTCAGATACTTGCGATTGACGTTTGCAGGTACATCTGTCATTTGTAGCATCTCCTTGATCGGCAACCATGTAATCAACAAGAAGATCTTCATAGGAGTCATCACACAGACCACCGTCTTGATCGCCCGTACCATCTGCCTGGCGTCCACCGAAGAATCTGCTTCCGCCCGATACATTTTTAGAAGATGCTTTCAATGTAGGCCTCTCGTAATTTTGCTTCCCAGATGTTTGCCCCTCATAAACTTGTTTATCTTTGAATTTAAGGTCGTCGCAGCAACTTCCAAGTCTTGTCACGGACTCGGGGTAATCTTGCTTAGATCTTTCGTCTTTACTCTTGTCGTAGCTACCTGAGAATACAGTGTCGGCCTCGGATTCTTTCCGCTTTGGACGATCTCTTGCCTTGTCTCCGTCACAGATGCCAGAAAATTCTGTCTCGATGTCGGATTCCTTTCTCTCGGAAGCCTTATCAGCTTTACTTTCCTCACATCGGCCTGAAAATACAGTTTCGGCTTCGGATTGTTGTCGCTTAGAGTTGGCATCAGCCTTGCTATCATCACAGCAGCTTGGTATTCTTGAGGTAAGTGGATCTGGATTATACTTTCTATCCTCAACGCAGCAAGCGTCTTCCTCACTCTCGTGTGCTCTGGAATCTTCCGTATCTTCAGTACTCTCGCTGTGGTGACGCTTATCTCTGTAGAACGAGGTTGAATCTGACTCCATTTGAGATTTTAACTGTTCGTCAAACCATGTCTTTGTCTTTTCCACTTGATCCGTGTCATCTTGGTCATTGAGGGCAACAGCCTTCCCCTTCCCTTTGTCGCTCAACTTCGTCTTGACAGGCTTTTTCTCCTCGGGTTCCTCTTTACAGGCCTTGTCTTCCGAGTTAAGTTCTTTTTCAGACCTTTCTCTTTCGGCCATTCCTTTTTTACAATTGTGTTCCCAATGCTTAGATCTCGTCTTTTGATCGGTGCTATCTTTGTGAGATTCGATATTGGTACACAAACAATTAGGCTG